CATAATAAAAAGACTTTCCCCACTTAATTAACACCAGAGGTGTTCAGTACAAGAAAAGATCTAATGACAAACACGTGGCACAACACTTATAACAGAATGATGGGTCCCGAATCAGCAGAACAGTGATTGATTGAGTCAGTCAATCACAGCTTGTTAAACACAATGCATCCTACATTGAACATTAAAATACTATTGGAATTACAGGCAGAAAAACTCAAATTAAATTTAGCCAGAGGAATGAATAGAGGATCACCATTACTTCGATTGATCCTGTGGATTTGTTAAATGCCATTCAGCCATTGTACAGTTGTGCTGCCCCCTAGCTGTTACGTGAGGAAGAGCTGTGAATAACTGTATGTCACCCACAGCAAAGCCATTGTAGATAAAGTCACCTTCTTTGAACCGAAGAGGCTGTTTATTATGGTTGCTAGAGCTGTTCATTAAATTTACCTAAAGAGAAGTAACACAAATTCCATACCATGCCTGCCCCCCCCCAGACATTTTTAGGTGTGAACATAGTCTCTTAGTCACAAAACCAGCCATGCTCGTCACCCCGCAGCTCTTTGATGTCCAACTTCCTGTTTCAGATTTATTTTCCCCAAGATGTAACTACGCTTTCTGAGTCACAAACCAGCTGTGACGGTGACCCACTTCCTGCTCCTAACGGCAGGCCCACGGCGACTGAGGAGTGCAGCTACGTTTCACGCCACTGTCACTCTTCCAGAAAGATGAGATCCGGCTGCTTTGTGGTATCAGCATCCTCAGGGACGGCTGTCCTGTGCAAATCTCTTAAAAGGAGTTGCAAGTTAAGCAGATGAACCGGATGGTGTCAGTGACGATTGGTTTTCTTCTCTAGCGTCTCCAACAGGCTGTCCAGAAGGGGGCAGCAATGCTGGGGTGGGGGTAGGGTGAGGATAATGGGAAACAGCCCTAACCCTGAGAAATCAGCATGGCCCCCCAAGCAGATGAGCCGAACAGCCCCCAGTCACCCCCCGACACAGTCCAGAGCCACCGCTGCCAACTGACACACCCCAATCACCCTGTTCCCTTTCAAAGGGAATTAGCGGCAGAGCTTGTCTGCACAGTAATCCTATTACCCTGGAGACAGTGGGGCTCCCTACTCTGGATCTGTAACCACCCC